AATGTTAATGTGATGGATTATATTAATTGATTTTCAAATGCTGAATCAGTCTTGTATACCTGGGATAAACCCCACTTGGTTATGTTGTATTATTCCTTTTATATAGTGTTGGGTTCAATTTGCTAATATTTTGTTGAGTTCTTTACTGTACAACTAGAGTGAATAATCACTATTTTTGGATATTCTACAGCAGGGGTTGGCAAATTTTTTCTGTAAAGGGCCAGATAGTAAATATTTTCGGCTTCATGGTCATTCAATTTCAGTTGAAACTACTCAACTCTGCCACTGGAGTGAGAAAGCAGCCATAGACAATACATAAATGAATGTGTATGGCTACCTTGTAATAAAACTTTACTGACAAAAACAGGAGAGGGGCTGGCTATGCCTCTTGGACAGTAGTCTCCAACCCCTGTTCTACATTACAGATAACTAAGTTGGCTAATGGTAAAGTACACTTTTGGACTTCTTTCCATACTTTAGAAGGCAGAATTCTTCAAAATAACAACTTCACAAAAGTTACTGCTTTGCTTTTCCACTCCTAGTCCCATTATGCTCAATTACAGTGGTGCACATTCAATTCTGGTTCAATTATGTTTCTTGATCTTTGAAACAGTCCTTCTCTAGAACTAAATAAACTTTTAAAAACTAAAAATTCAAGGAGATTTGACCAACTTCATAATTTGTACATATAACTGACAATTCTGCAGTTACTTTATCATTTCAAATAAAAATTCTTATTCACAATTTTCTCAAGAGTATGTGAAAGTAAAGGAGGTCATAAAAACTATTTTCTCCACTTATTTTTCCAGAGACTTACTGACTGGAGGTGGAGAGGGGTTGTTATTCTTTCACTTACCTGGTTTCCTGCCACAGAGATAGAAGGCTAGTCTGTCAGTCAGCTCGTACTGTATTTCTACAAGGCGTTCTGCCAGTTCATGGTGCCCTCCTTGCCTACCAAGAGGAAACAAAGTATCACTTATATTGTTCACCATTCAATGGCTTTAGAATATAAAAGTACAAAGACATCTCCGAAGACACCTGAACCACTTATCGAACACGACCTTGTAGACTGACTGACCTTCTTGTGTGAATACAGCGTCAAGGTCTACTTTGATTCCCATCTTTATAAACTGTTTCACAACTTGAACTACCTGATTTCTTTATTAGGGCCCTGTTGGGCAGTGGTTAAGTGTCTGGCTGCTAACCAAAAGGTTAATTTCTTTATTAATTTCCAAAACAGAGTATTCAATAAGGAATACAAGGATTTATGAGAGACAGAGAATAACTTGGTCCAATGAGAAGATAAAATTAATACATGGTCTAGGGTAGAGGTTCTTAAAAATTAACAAGAGTGCTTTAAAAAAATCTACAAATGTCCAGGCCTCACCCTTAGAAATTCTGAATCTATAAGGATGGGATGGGGCCTAGGCATCAGTATTTTGAAGAAGGGCCTTCCTCCGATGATTTTGATGCAGCCAGTCTGACTCTGGATGTGAGGGCTTCAATTCAGGGAGAGACAGACCAACCTAATACCCACCTCAGAACATCTGTAGCTACTTATTTTCAATTTCCATAACAGAAAATAATAGGAAATCTAAGTTTACCTTTCTTCATTCATGAAATAAGTATTTAAACTGCTTAAAATTCCTTTAGTAACAAAGCATAAATTATTACCTTGAGGGACTATTATATGCAAGGTACACATGAGGAAATTCCAAAGTGAGAGATAATAAGTATCATTTACCGAGAGCTCTCTTACCCTTAAAAGACCAAGTTTAGCTTCAGTCAGTTTCTCTTCCCAACACTTAAGGCACTACAAGATATCCTCCAACCTACCAAACTTCTTTGATTTTTTTAAGACGTAAATCTTTTTTTCCTCATTTTTTAACATCTGTGAAATCAGGAAGTATCCTACAACGTATGGTACACCATAATTCAATGGAGCCCTGGTGGCGTAGTGGTTAAGTGCTCAGCTGCTAACCAAAAGGTCGGCAGTTTGAATCCACCAGCCCCTCCTTGGAAACCCTATGGAGTAGTTCTACTCTGTCCTATAGGGTCGCTATGAGTTGGAATCAACTTGATGGCAATGGGTTTTCATAATTTAATTGGTCAAGTTTTTTCTTTCTTAGTGGTATATGAAATAATGATACATCATACAATCAATGGATTCTTAAATCTGATAATATCATGTATTCATCCATACCCGGCAACCTTAGCTCTTACTATTCCCAGGCACACTCTGCTCTATCCAGTCAGGTCTCCTGCTGTGCTGAATATGCCCTGCCAATCCCTACCTCCAAATCTTGACTCATTCCTTATTTCCTCTTTCATCTATCCAAATCCAACTCATTCATCCAAGACCACCTAAAGAAATTTCTTAATGATTTGTACCATAATGAAGAAGCCCTATAAATACATTTTAAGACCAACTACCCATTTTGGCAATGACTCACACAATATCTTGCCTTATTTAACTCTTATGCCTTTATGAATCATCTCTTCCAAGAGACACTAAATTCTAGGAGGGCCGAGTTTTGTCACTTCACCCATTTTTTCCTCTGCAGAGTGGAGTGAGTAGTGTTTCCCAGTTAACAGAGTTAATTTGGAAAAAGAAGAAAAGATGGTCGATTCTCAATCTCATTTAAAAGATACTCAAGTTTAACCTACGGGCTTATTTATTTAATCAACATTTTGTAGTTAAAATTTTTGAACAACAAAAAATTCACAGAATTTTACACTGAGCACCCAGATGTCCACCACCTGATAGCTACAATTAACATTTTACTGCACATGCTTAGTCACATATCTATCTATACAGATTTATTTTTAAATTCAAGTAATGAAGAAGAAGAGTATTAAAAACTTGAAGGGTGGGCTCTGTAATTCTCGATACTTGATTTGGACTCTGACTATGGCTCAAATACCACTCTGCTACAAAGGATCAAGTAAAAGATTGGAGCAGCCCTGGTGGTGCAGTGGTTAAGTACTTGGTTGCTAACTGAAAGGTTGTGCGTTTGAACCTACCAGCCGCTGTGCCGCAGAAAGATGTGGCAGCCTACTTCCATAAAGATTAAAGCCTTCGAAACCCTATGGGGCAGTTCTACTCTGTCCTATAGGGTTGCTATGAGTTGGAATCGACTCGACAGCAATGGGTTGGTTTGGGTGTTTGATACTCATCTTCCAATCTTTTACCCGCTGCAGTAAAAGACTGGAAGATGAGTATCAAACACCCAAACCAAACCTGTTGCTGCTGAGTCGATTCCGACTCATAGTAACCCTACAGGACAGAATAGAACCGTTCTACAGGGTTTCCAAGGAGTGGCTGGTGGATTCGAACTGGGGACCATTTGGTTAGCAGCTGAGCTCTTAACCACTGCTCCACCAGGGCTCTGGAAGATGAATACACAGGTTTATAATTCTACTCTTTCCTGACTTTCCCAGGCTCAGCTGACATGTGTTTGATATGCCTTCAACTGCAAAATAACAGAATGTAAATCTTTAAAGGGGTTAAATGCTAATCATACACAATTTAGCTAGGTAACAATGAATCATACCAACATAAAGAATCCCAGAGATAAGTGATAAGAATCTAGATCTCTTACCTTGCATAATCAACAGGAGTTTTCCCATTAGAATCTTGTGTGCCTGGGTCTGCTCCATATACTGCCAATAATTCAGCCTGTAAAATCTGCCCTGCTTTGGAGGCAACATGGAGTGGGGTGTTTCCTTTTTCCTAAGAATCATTAATAGAAAGTAGACAAAAAGTAAATTAACTAAAGGCTACATGAACACAACTAATTTCGTTTTAGTTTAATATCTGAATCAACCCATGCTTTCTTACAGGGTGAAAGAAGTTGGCTTGTGCTCCTAAAGATAACAGCCTCAAACAAGTTTCAAGATTCCCTGTTCTCACGCTTGAATGGAGTTGCTGAAAGACACACAAACAAAAAAGAATATTCGTTTAAAAGCAAAAAGAATGATGTACTACAGCAGCTGGCAGATCCTTTTAACACAAGTTTCACCAGTACTAAATAATCTTTATTTGGCTCAGCAAGGTGGATAAAGCAGTTTCTCCCCTGCTGGTCACGCCCCCTGGGCTGTAAGGTGGGGCCAGGCCCATAATACTGATAAGGAAATTAGTGCTGTGATGCTGACATGCCCAAATGCGTGTCCTGTCCAAGTGGCACAGCCAGAACTTGAGTGAGAGGCAGTATGAAGAGGTGGCTGAGCATGGCTCTGAAGTCTGATAGATCTGGATTTCAAACCATATCCCTTTCAAGTTGTGTGACTCAGAAAAAGTTCTTGAAGTTCTGAGCCTCAGTTTCCTTATCTCTAAAACTGTGATAATAAAGCCATCTATTCACAGGGTTATCACGAAGATTCAGTGATATAATACAATGAAGTGCCTTGCATTGAGCTTGCTGTTATTATGATGAGTTGTTGTTGCTGAACCTAGGGGTTTAGGGTTTTATATATTTTACACTGCATAAGCTACAGAACTCTGCCTTATGCCACATCCTCTCCACAGCATGATTCTTGGTCTGTAAGCAATACTTTAATTAAGTCTTCGGGGTGGGAAATAGGCCTGTGGTATACCAAATTCTGTACCATTGCAGAAAAGCTCTTACACATTCAGAAAATGAGCTGCCTTCCTTCCAGTCTAACCTAGAATTGTCCAAAATGCAATAACAACTTATCGTGGGAATGAAGAAATCTACTCTAACATCTGTATCTAAGTCTTCTCAGTTGATGAAAGTAACGATTACATGCATGTCTACATAAAATTTAAAATTCTGAATCTGAGTGCCAGCATTTTGTGTGAGCATTTGCCAAAGGCAGTGCTTTGAAAATAAAGATGTACATTTCTTGCAGCATTTCTCAAAAACATGCTAAGGCCCACATAAAGAAAACCAAATACTCATTTTACGAGTATCATAAGCCACTCCACGTTAACTCCAGCTTTGAGTCACACCTTGCTTTCTGAAGCTCCTACTCACAAAAGAATGTAGGACCATGAAGACGTTAGCTCTCTTCCTTTGGTACTTTTCCTAGTCCTCACTAGAAACAAATAATTGTCCCACAAACTCTCTAGTCCCCTCTAGAAACAAACTCTGAGATGGTTCCTATTTCAAAGTTAAAAAAACCAAACAAAAAATGTATAGAAGTATAATTTTAAAAATATATCTGAAAAACACAAATAGTTTTCTGGATATGTATCTTTCCTCTCTGCCCTTGCACCTCCATGAACATGAATGACTGTTATTTGAATTAAGATTAAAAATGAAACCAATTGCAAAAAAGGCTATTATTAATTATTTAGTGTACAGAAATGAGGTTTTTTCTTTTCTTCCTTTTTACAGTTTTTTCTTTTTCCCCAAACAAAAGAGTAAGCCGATTCATTCAGCTCTCTTAAGAATTTTCAAAGGTGCGACCCACCTTACTAAGATCTTTGGCAGTCACGCTATCATCATCCCGGCAGGGCAAGCGATGGACAAATGCTAACATCTGATACTTGGCTCTGATGAATTCTGCCTTATTGGGACTGGTTCAAAACAAAAAAGAAAACAGTTCACTTGCAGTTCAGATCCCACGTTCCCCATTCTTTACACTGTAGAAAGAAGAGGAAGTGACCCACATCACCCCCTTGAGAATCAAATGAACAATGGTAAAGTAGGTTCTAATGCTGTTTAAGGCCTGGAGTCTAAAAACATACATTAGTCATTATAATGGCCAGTCATTATAATACCTGCTTTTTATAGCCTCTTTCTTCACTGTGTAATTTCCTTAATTGACACAGCAACCAACCTTGTGAGGAAGAGACATTTAGCTCTGTCTCCTAGGCACAGCATCATGCAGACTGGTGCCCAGAACCTAGATTTCTGATCTGATTGCCTCTTGTTTGAGCACTAACTTTAAACCTGATTCCAACAAGGACCTCCAAGCCTTTGGCTCAAACTGCAGAAACCATTTAATCGTGCTGGGTAACCGTGCAAGAGATGGTCCCGCCCGCCTCCATGGGCATTTCTGACAGCAAAGAGCACAACGCACACTTGGGGTCACCACCTCCTGTGCTGCCCTTGTGAAGGCCAGTCAAAAATAGCGGCACTCCTTTCAGTGGGCCCCATTTGTTACGAAGAAATAAAAGTATTTATAAACATGTCACTCACTGTACTTTATCCTGTGGATTAGCTTTACGTCTTCCGCTCATAATAGAGGCAGGGTCCAGCAGAGAATGCTCCCATATAGAATTAGCACCATTATTATACAAGGTTTCAACCATCTAAAACCAAGCAGTATGAAAATAGCATTTTAATTTCCTTCCACGAATATTCAGTGGGAATCAGTGACTGAACTGAGAAAACAAAGCCCCGTCACAAACACTACCGTGACTGGGATATCACTCACATCACTGTTTCCTGATTTTGGAATCAGAAAGAACCTGAATGCAACATTCAGGTTTGACCAGTAGGATAGCTAAATACCTAAATGGGTTTGATTGAAAGGTAAGCCGCTGGACAGCTGCTCCAGGGGATAAAGATGTGGTAGCGTGCTTCCATAAAGATTTACAGCCTTGGAAACCACAGGGGGCAGTCCCACTCTACCCTCTAGGGTCGCTATGAGTCAGAATCAACTTCAAGGCAATGGGTTTGGTTGTTTATTTAAAACAGATTACCCAGAAGGATGCTTTGCCACCTTAGGCGGTGCTTCCTAAGCGGGATCGTTCAAATACTATTTTCAAGATTCTTAATGACCCATTTACCACGTATACTATTCACTTAATATTTTTCTTTAAATCCATTCACTTTTTAAGACTTTTACTAGCAATTATGGTTTTCCGTGCTAGTAAAATTTTTCTTATACACATTAATATCATGCAACTCTTAAAATAAATATTTGAATATTACCTACATCTGTCTTGAGTACCACTGGTGGCTCATAGACCATATTCTGGGAATTGTTACTTTAGGGGTAACCCTGGCATTTTGAACTACTCATCTCTGAACTTTATTCAGATCCTATGATATAATCTGGCTTTGTAAACACAGACCAGAGAGCAGTAAACACTCTTTCACATGAGAATGGATTGTTAGAAACTTCTAATCCCAATTTATTAATAAACTGTATCTCCCAATTTCATTTCAAAGCATGACTCCTGACGTGGCAGCCTGGCCCCGTCTGTTTTTTACATTAGGGGGAATATTTTCACATCAGAGATCCAAACCCACCTGTTCTGGTCCCTTGGTTCATCTGGGTCAAGTTTAAGGGACATGTTGTGCAGCTGCCATAGGTTTAGTAAAATGTGTACTCAAGACAAATGAAAGCAAAACACATGCTTAATTCTGAATTCCAGCAGAACTTAAAGAATGTGTGCTCCAAAACAGAAGTACAGGTGACATTCCATTGGACCCCCAATAAAACAAAAAGCCTGCTTAACACTTAGCAGAGTATTAAGCACTCAATCAAAACATGTTAACTTAATTTGGTTTCTGACCAGCAACAAAAATTTAAGAAAACTTAAATCGATGTTTCAGAAACTTCTGAGGAATCCCAGCTCTATCAAGGCAGGATAAAAGTTCTAAAAATGTTAGCAGGTACTCAGGAATAAGTACATTAATTAAAAGTTTCTAAGGCAGTAGCTTTTGAAACATTCATCATGGTAAGCGGAAAGGATAAACTATTTAAAAACAATTTCTGGTGACATTCTAGAAGTCAGCAGTGAAACATAACCAAGAAATTTTAATGACTACCACAGACATATATACAATCGAGCTTTTGGGACAAGATTTATGTTAGGAGGGGAAAAAAATCTTAAATGATGAATTCAATACAGACAACATTGACATATACAGCATTGATGGAAACAGCACCTCTACCCAATTACAATTCAAACATTTGTGAAAGATTTAAGAAGTATACTAGGAGAAAATTTAGCTGCTAAAACACTCTTTAGACACAGACTGGACTGGACTGTGGGACATACAATGATACTCGTGAAGAGTGTGCTTCTTAGCTCAAGTAGATACGTGAGACTAAATGGGCAGCTCCTGTCTAGAGCTGAGATGAGAAGGCAGAGAGGGTCAGGAGCTGGTCGAATGGACACAGGAAGTCTGGGGTGGAAAGGAGAAGTGTGCTCTCACAGTATAGAGAAAGCAATTAGGGTCGCATAACAATGTACGTATAAATTTTTGTATGAGAGACTAACTTGAATTGTAAACTTTCACTTAAACTACAATTAAAAAAAAAAAATTCAGTCGCTAAAACAATGATTCTTAAAAACTTAAATCACAAACTGAGAAGAAGAATTCTCATTCTTTACCTGAAGCAATGTCGGAGGCCAGGGTGTGTGTTTAAGATGCCTTACTTGAGAGATATGTCGCCCCAGACTCCGATGGACACTGCAGCACTCATCACATATAAAAGTTCCCCTGTTTACTGATGCCCAGGAAGGATCTGGAAAGAATGAAATATCAGTGGCAAGGATACCAGTTAGTTGCTATACTGCCAGATGGTAAAAGATGACTGAGGTTTGGTTTAAAAAAAAAAAAAGAAAGAAATTTTTGTTGGTTTAATATGGTAGTCAACATATCAGGCTGGTGATCCTGTCTGATGATACTAATTAAGCGAAATGTTAATTGATACTAATCAGTTATCTCCCTTCTGGTTCGGGGCCACAGTTTGTAGCCCTGATGTGGATCTCCCATCTCAGATGTATGCTCCTTTATTCAACATAAGAGAAACAAATTGAGAGGATACAGACGAATCATTTAAAATCCATGGCCCACAAACAGCAAGATAACACAATTTTGACAGTGAATTAGCAGTATAACATCTGAAGTAAATGGTGAAAAAGGCTGCTACTCTAATCCACTGCTACAAATCTATAGGCCTCTATGCTTAGCAGAAAGCAGCAAGTGACAGAACTATAGTCGTTCAGCTGCTATGGTTCTGAGGATAAACTGGGAAATGCTGTCTCCTCTGATATCCATTGTTGTTGTTGTTAGCTGTCATCCAGTCAATTCCGACTCATGGGGACCCCATGTGTTACAGAGTACAACTGCTCCATAGGGTTTCCTTGGCTGTTATCTTAATGAAAGCAGATCGCCAGGCCTATCTTCCATGGTACCACCAAGTGGGCTCAAACCACCAATCTTTAGGTTAGCAGTCAAGTGCAAACTGATATCCATTAGGTGTTTTAAATAAACTGTTCACTGAGTTCAACCCTCCGATTGATGTGAAAGAACATAAGCTTTAATAATAGCAGCTTCCAGAAGCAAAGTTGTAACATAAAAACAAATCGTATTTTTGATGCGTGTACAATACTTTTTTCCTACAAAGTCCCAGAGCTTCATTAGACATCCTTTGGAAGAAGGAATAATCCACACTTGGCAAGCAAAATGGATTTGGGCAAGTAAATCAAGCACTTCGAAACTCAAAAGAAAGGAAGACCTTCTACATTTCATCAGACTCACAATGGGGTGACAATAGGTGCCACTCAAGCTGAGCGGTCTAAGGGTTACGTTTCAAAATTCTGCAATGTCCACAAAAATCTCTAAAATGCATGTACATCATCTTTACCATTTTTAACAGTTTATTCAAACTCTTTCAAACCATATAATGAAAAGTTATGGGATTTCAATCAAAGACAAATCCTGGGAGTCAAAGAGTGTGGTGGTTAAGAGAATTGGCTCTGGAGACAAGCAGTACAGGGTTTGAACCCCAACTCTGCCACTTCTCACACAATGAACTCAGGCAAATTATTTCTTTGTGCCTCCTCACCATGGATTAAATGGGAATAACACATACATCTCAGGGCAGTGAGGATATCAAAAGTAAGTAAAATACCTCGCACACAGTAAGTGCTCAGTAATGTTAGCTGTTATATCTTTTATAAATTATTTTCTAAGCACCATTCAGATATTTCAAGAGCCCACTGAAATTCATGATCATTGAAAGAAATTTTTGATTGGAAAAACTTAAAAACATCAAATGTTTCATATAAATACTATACTATCATAGTGAAAATTTCAGCAGATTTTTCAGGTAATTGAACTCAGTGTGATGTAGTTAAGATAAACTACACTCATTAAAATAAACAAGCAAAACATTTAAGAAGAAATAATCATAGGTAAACGTTTGCTATGAAACAAAACAGAAACAAAATAAGTCAATGAAGTATAACTCTCTCAGTACTACTACACCATTCTAAAAAGCAAAGATTGTAAACATCAAGATAAAGTATCCCTAAAAAGATACATAACAGTGTTGTATTTTTGCAGTATGGTACTACTACTTATGAAGGGAAAAAAAGACTTTGTCTTGAAGCGTAGCTTCGATTTTCACATATCATCGAGAGAATTCACAGTATTCTTAGATGAAATGGAACAGGACTAGGACAGCAAGGATTTAATAATTAAGCAAGGCTCTCAATTAACCATTTTAACATTACGGATCACAATTCCATGGAAAGAGTACTAGAATGTTACAACAGAGTAAAATCAAATCCAGTTTGTATAAATAAGGTTGGGTGAAACCCTTCCAGTTTATGTGGATGTTTTGTGTCAGGGCTTCTTAACCTGGGCTCCACGGATGCCACAAATGAGCTTCAGAAGTGTCTGCGGCCCCACGGAGGAAACGTGCATAAAATTCTGTGTGGAGTATATACACATGCATTTTCTGGGGAAAGGGCCTTAACAATCAATCGTTAGATTCGCAAAGGAGTCACTAGGGCTTTGCAGAAAAGGCAGAACAAATTCCTAGCTGCTCAAGTTCACAGAACATTTCAAGGTAGCCTAATTATACTCAAAACAGGAAGGAAGTGACTCAAGTCTCTGTAGATTAGGTGCATGAGACAACTAAAATGATACAATGGAAGAGAAAATGTTCTGAAATGCATAAAACGCTGCAGAAAATGCAAGGCAGTATTTAGGGTGGCAATGGAGAAGCAACCTTTCCTTTACCCCACAACATCTACTGAGAAGTAAAGACTACTCATTCCAAGAGGAAGTTTGAAGCTAGACACATGTGAATCAAATATGACGCAGAAAGTTCAACTGAAAACAGGCAAGAAAAGAAGGAAGTGGAAACAAATAACGTTTTTAGAGACTAGGATTAATTTTGTATAACCCACGCTAACTAGTTTATAAAACACTTCTTTTTTACACTCCTCTACCCATCTCCCTGTCTACAAAGGAAACTGTTAACCCTGCTCACTATACAGACTACGAAAAAAAACACAACAGGTTTGAGTTATCACGTTGTTAGTTGCTGTCCAGTCGATTCCAAGTTATCATAGTACTATTTAAAATAAGCCTCAACTTCCAAGTGACAAGATGAAGTTGAGAACAGTTGCAACAACACCAGTGTTCAATGATTTCATTAAGATTGTTTATTGGACGCTATTGTGCCAAGGAGGCCATCTTACTTTTGAATTACTTCAAACTCAAAGCAGATAAACCCAAAAACTGAAAACAGGATATAATAACCTAGCCAGAGACGTGTCAACTCAATTCCAAATGCTAAGATAGATCTGAACTCTGTATCTGAAAACTGCGCATGGGCAGAAATGGTTTATGCCTATACTGCTGAATCCTCAAATGTGTATATTGCCAGTGATTTTGTGCTTCTTTGTTTTCGGTAAGTTGTAATTAATGTATGATTCAGAAATTCAAATCTCGCTTTAAAGGACTGCAAGACTTCTGTACTAAAGAACACAATAAAAAACAAAAAACAAACAAACAAAAAAAAAACACCTTAGATGAGATGATAAGAATACTCATTGTATCTTCCTAATCACTAAGCGAAACACTCCCGACTATCTCCATGGGAAGAATGAGGAAATCAAGACTTGGCCACACGAAGTCACAAGCTCAAGGTCACCCACACCTAGTCTGAACCCACGCTATTTCAGATCTCAAAACTTGAGACATGCTCTGCCTTCTAAGTGCTGGCTGTTTCTGCAAAAACCCGATGTCCTGGAGATTCTCCCCGGTGGAGTGGGAGCCGGGATGCCAGAAGCCTGGAAGGAATCTGCCCGTGGGCCCTCTGGCGGGTCTCGGTGAGGGAAGCCGCGAGCGTCGCCCATCTCGGGCAAGGTCCCCTTGCGCTGCAGGGGTCTGGATGGCTGGTGTGTGTGAGGGTGACACCTGCAGCCTCTGGGGGCCGCAGCCGGGAAGATGCTCGCATTTTACTTCTGTAATTGGTCTTCCTGTAGATTGCCCAAGCCCCTTCCTGTTGGGGGAGAAGCCCTGGACCCGGCCGCCTCCCCAGCCGGCCTGGGACCAAGGGGACGGGGAAGAGGGAGAGGCGGGAGGGCGGCGGCCCCCTCCCCGCCGGGCTCTGACAGGCCCGGAACGGGCCCTGCTCCAGGGCCGCCCCAGGCTCTCCCTCGCCGCGACCCCAGCCGCGAGGCGCGGGGCGGGGGGCTCCGCCGTCCGGATTCGCCCGACCTGAAGGGGCTGCCTCGGGGCAGGGGTCCGGGTCAGGAGAGCAGAGGGGAGCGGGCCCGGCCGGTGCGACTCACCCGGCCCGCTGCAGTCAGCGCACACCTCGCTGCTCCGGAGCCGCTTCGACATGGCTCCCACCTCCCACCCGCGGGGAACTAGGGGCCCCCGGACAGCGAAGGCGGCGGCGGCGGCGCTTCCGCTCTAACGGGTCCCCGCGGCGGCGCTGGCGACAGCGCCTCTCCCCTCAGCGCCTCGGAGCCCGCCCCAGCACGCACGCGCGGGGAGGTGTCCTTCAGCGACGGAAAGGTCATGTGACCGGAAAGGGCACACTGTTTTGTCGCCATCTTGAATGAGGGCAGATGTTTGCTTCGGGATTCTCTGCGTTACTTTTCAATCTTGAGTTTGGGATTCCCCCCCCGACACTGGGTCGCGAAACTCTGGTGGCGCAATGATTAAGAGCTACGGCTGTTAACTGAAAGGTCGGCAGTTCGAATCCACCATCTGCTCCTCGGGGACCCTATGGGGCAGTTCTACTTTGTCTTATAGGGTCGCAATGAGTCGGAATCCACTCCGTGGCAACGGGTTCGTTTTTTTTTTTCTCCCTCTGGGTAGCGGAAAGAGCCCTGGTGGCGCAGTGGTTAAAGCGATCGACTGCTAACCGAAAGGTCGGCTGTTGGGAACCTTCAGCGGCTCGGCCAAAAAGATGTGGCAGTCTGCAGTCCGCTTCCCTAGAAATTTATAGCTTTGGAAACCCTGTGGGGTCAATATGAGTCTAAACCGACTCCACGACAGTGGGTATTTTAGTGGTCTCTGGGTCGTTACAGGGTTGCTATGAGTCAGAATCCACTGGAGGGCAGTGAGTGAGTTTTTTCCCTGGAAGAGATACTGCTTTCCCAGTACTGATTAATTCCGGGGGAAGCTGCAAAACCTAGAGACCACAGAGAGCTCTGCAGCCACAACTTTCCTGAGGCAATCAGTGGTCAAGTTACTTAGTGTAACTTTGGCCAAGTTAGTTCATTCATTCATTCAACAAATATTTATTGTCTACTGTGCACTGTCCGATGACGCTTACGAGGAGCCCTGGTGGTGTAGTGGTTAAAGTGCCGAACAGCTAACCAGAAGGTCCGCGGTTGGAACTCACCAGCTGCTCACCAGGAGAAAGATAGGACAGTTTGCTTCCCTGAAGATTTACAGCCTTGGTAACTTTTAGGGAACTGCCCACAGCGTCCCCAAGGAGTAAATGTTGGATCGGACCTTTTGGTTCTTAACCACTGTGCTACCAGGGCTCCACTCTGTCCTATAGGGTCGCTATATTTGGACTCCACAGCAGTGGGTTTGGTTTTGGTTATGCAGCTTACATTCTACTGGGGTGGTTGTTGTTAGGTGCCCTCGAGTCTGTTCCGACTCATAGTGACCCCATAGGGTTGCCCCCATAGAGTTTCCAAGGAGCGGCTGGTGGATTGGAACTGCGAACCTTTTGGTTAGCAGCGGAGCTCTTAACCACTGCACCACCAGGGTTCCTAACTTCTTTAGGCTGCAGTTTTAATCTCATTTGCAAAATGGAGATAATCTATTATCTACATCCAGCCCATGATTTGTCTTTTTTGTATGGCCTGCAATCTAAGAATGTTTTTCACATTTCAAAAGAGTTTTAAACAGAATAAAAAGGAGTGAAATAGGAAAAGAAAAAAGAAGAGGAACAAAAATATACATCAGAATTCATATGTGACCCACAAAGCCTAAATAGTTACTGTCTGGCCAAGGACAAATGGATTAATTTATGGAAAAGTGTGGTGTGCCTACCCCATAGTAAGCACCTCAATAAATTGTAGCTATTATTATTACTGGAGCCCTGGTGGTGCTGTGGTTAAGAATTTGGCTGCTAACTAAAAAATCAGTAGTTCAAATCCACCAGCCGATTCATGGAAAGCATATGGGGCAGTTCTAGTGTGTTTTACTATTATTGGTATTGCTATTATTTTCAAGTCACTACTTTTCTTCCTGTACTTCAAATTTGAAAAGAATAGATAATCCAGAGTAATTTACAGGATAGTGTGAGGTAAACATGATGGGGTTAGTCAGTGTGAAGGAGAGGAGATGTGACTCTAGTGCTAATGAATATTTATTGTATGTATTACATGTAAACACAGTTATAATCTCCATTCAGCAAATATTGGATGCCTGTTATGGGTCAGGAACTGTTTTGGCTTTAGGTAATCCAGTAAACAAGACAGATTTGGAGTTTTCAGACTAATAAGACAGGAGAGATGTTCAGGAAACATGGGGCGATGGAAAGAGAAGATTAAGTTGCACAAGACTTTTGAAAGAATGAGAAATCCTGGAAGAGGCCTCAGAAGCACTGGTCCTTGGTCCATCTCTCCAGCTTGATAAATGCATGGTGTGGGAATAGCCACATAGTTCCCACACATTCCACAGTTACAGTCTATGAGTACTATCCCGATGCTCCTGCACCCTGTTTTGGTTCCCCGACTCACAAGTGGACTCAACACGTGGAGAATGGATTAGCCTAGGATTCTTGAACAGCTGTTGTTGCAGGCGTCTGAAAAGCTGGCTGTGCATAAGCAGAGAAGGCCCAGGGGATGCTTTCAGAATGGATTGAATAACTTTGCCCAGCTACGTGGTCAAGTTGTAGACAGCTGAGCAGAAGCAGCAGCAGGAAGCTTAGGATGGGGAGCAGCTATAAATTGACTTGGCTCTTCATTGAGGCAAGGAGGTACAGCGTCTGAGGTTGAAACTCAAAGGATGAACTTCATATTTGCAGATTGTTGTTAAGTCTCAGTATTATATATCAGTCTTTTCAGTCATAATCCAAAATCCAAATGGTTAGCTTCAAAAATAAATGACACTCGTATGTAGGATAAACCATTATCATAGTGAGCTTGGAATCATAACCCAGTTTAGAGTTCAGATAGAACAGTGGTTCTCACCTAGGGACCATTTTTCTCCCCCAGGGGACATCTGACAATATCTGGAGACATTTTTTGGAGGGTGCTACTAGCATAGAGTGGGTAGAAGCCAGGTATGCTGTTTAACATCCTGCAAAGCACAGGACAGCTCCCACAACAAACTATCCGGTCCAAAATGTGCCAAGGTTGAGAAACTCTGTGATAGAACTATCTCCTTATTACGCAAATATTTAATGCCACTCCTCCAGGGTTTATAGTTCCTCCTTTAAAATTGTTTGGTGTTGCCCACTTCCAAAATGGCTTCTGACCGATCGTGGAAGCATCTGCCCTGGTGCAAAAAGGCTGCAAGGGAGTCGGTAGCCCGAATGGTTTAGCCCAGGCCCCTGTTGTCACCCCCCTGACCGCTGAGCCAATGGAAGAGGCCCAGTTGTGGACCGGACCATTTGGGATCAATAAAGCAGGAGGAGAGAGGCTGGTGACGGGTAGACCAAGTTTTCCATGTCAAGATCCTGGGAAGAGAGAGGGAATTGTAACTCTGTTTTAAGTATTACACTATGTTCCCGGTGTGAAGTTGGAGGTGAGTGCAGTTGGGTGGACACCGGACCGACCACTTTGCCTCGTCCTCCCCCGCCGTAGCGTGCGGTGGTTCGCTCCCCGCACTTCCCTGTTTGGGACAGTTCGGCCCCCAGAAGTCGGTTCGGGAGCTGTCAGCGCGGGCGGGAGCGCGGCGGGGCACGGGGTGGGCGCGGCCGACCCGGTCCCCGACCCGGCCCGCGACCCCCGACCTCCCGCGCACCACGCACCCGGCCCGCTAGGCCACCCAGCCCGCTAGGCTACCCGGCCGCGCCCCTCGTCTGCTCGCTCGCCTCGTCCTCTCGCTCGACTGCCGCCGGCGGGCTCCGGAGACCCCGCCGGGGCTGAGGCTTCTGGCGAGCGGGCGTCGAGGGCCCGGCTGCGGCCTCCTCGCCATGTCCTCGGCCCGCGACGCCAGCGATCACTACCCCCTGCATCGCCTGGTCTGGAACAACGACTACCGGCAGCTGGAGAAGGAGTTGCGGGACCAGGTGAGGGGCGGGGTAGGGCGAGGGTCCGCCCCTGGTTAGGGGGAGTCGAGGATCGCTTTGACTCCCTAAGCCCATTTCCAAGCCCCTGCCCTCGGGGTCCCAAGGATCCCTTCAGCTCTGCAATCGTGGGACGGCAATAATAACAGGACGTGTACTGAGCACTTACTATGTGCCAAGCCCTGTGCCGAGGGCTTTATATACATCATCTATTCTAACCTTTCTAGTATCCTTAGGAGGTGGGTATTATTAGTCCATTTGACAGAGAAGGAAACTGAGGATCTCAGAGGTTATGGGCCTTGTGCAAGGTCGCCCAGCTAATAAATTTGCCAAGTCGGGATTTTAACTCAGACTGGCTGGCTCCAGAGAGCATCATTTGGCTCCAGAGAGAGCACTGTCTTTACCATTAGGCTCTACTACCTCTCTCCAAGACTTACACATTAGGCTCTACTATCCTCTCTGGAAAACGTACACACCTCACCTCACCTCACCCACCGTTGTTGTAAGGTAGGGCTTGGTTAAGGTTTGGAGTCCCGGTTCTAACTTGGTCTGTGTGACCTTGGGCAAGGCATTTCCCCTCTCTGGCCCACATCAGCTTATCTGCAGAATGAGGGTGGGCAAACCCAGTACTCTACTACATTGATAGGTCTGGGGTGAGGTCCAGGATTCAGCATTTTAACCGGCTCCCTAGGGTGGCTGATACCTACTAAAGTTTGAGAGTCACTGGTGTACAGGAGCCTCACTATCCTTCCTTGTTCTAAAGTGCTTTGATTTCTTGTCTTTTATTTTATTTATTTATTGCCGTCTCTTCTCAACTGGTTCTCACCTGGAGGTGATTTTGCCCCGAGGGAGCATTTGGCAATGTCTGGAGACATTTTTGGTTGTTAGGAGTGGGGAGGTGGGGTGCTACTGGCATCTAGTGGGAAGGATGCTGCTAAACATCCTACAGTGCACAGGACAGCCCCCCAGAACGGAATTATCTGGCCCAAAATGTCAGTAGTGTCTTGGTTGAGAAACTATGCTTTAAAGGCCTCCCAGCAATCCTGGGAGGTGTTGTTGCTGTTAGGTTACAAGCTAACAGACTTAACAGGATAAGGATCTGTAATTACTTCTGAAATATGGTATAATTGTTCTTGTTGGGTCTACTCATTTTATCTAGTGGGCTAAAGTCCTGGTCTTTGAATGGCTCAAAATTGGCCCTATAGTTGTGAAGAAATTTTCGAGGAAAAGGATGATCGTTTTTCTTTTGGTTGGCAAAAACTGAGCCAGGTCAGCATCACCCCATTTGCTGAACGCTAACTGCTAAGTGTTTGCTTGCACCCTGCCACATTTCTTTTAAATCTGTCAAGCACCCACTGAAAGTCAAAAGTCTCTCTTTTGTTTAAATCCTCTGTCCAGAAAGAAGAAACTTTTGTAAGAATCATTGGTCTTAATTAGATAACACCACCACTATTGAAGAGTTAAGGAGAGAAAGTGACACAGGCCCCAGATTAAATGATTCACCATTGGGCATCCCAGCATACCTGATGATTTAATTCCCCTTCTTTTACTGGGTTTGGCTCAGAGGGAATCCTCCATCATTTTACTCAGCTCTATCTTTAAGTCTCACCTGGGACACTTTAAAAAATGACTAGATTAATTCTGGTTTTTAGGTGTCTGCTGCATTTTTGTATCTGCAGTTACTCATTATTGTGTCTGCCCCAGCTTCTTGTAAAAGTATAAAGAAAGCCACAGAATTAAAATCTGATTTGAATTGAGAGGCTCATCATCATCATTAAACCATCCACTCTTTCAATGCCGATTCTTGAAAACAGCAGGCTTTCTATTCAAGGGAGACAAAGAAAAGAGTTTAAATAAATTGCATTTTTTTGACAGAATATTAGTACTTGTTTAATAAAACAATAACAAACAAGGTCTTGGCTTATAATCTAAAATATGACCTAGTTGAATTCTCTCTTTTTCCCGCGAACTGTGATAAAAGTGTTCTTTGAAAGTTCTCTGCGCCTCTTACCTTAAACAATGTTAAGGACATTTATGACTAGGGATTATAATTTTGCAGCAGATTTTTCCGGAGTAAATTGGTCCTTAATTCCTTCATTTGTCAAGAAGGCTAAGGAAGAATATTCATACTTGTCAATTATTTGGTTTTGACTTTGTTCTTGGTTATCACTGTAGATCATTTCATGGCATACCACTTCCCTCTGGGAAAGAGACAGTTGAAGTGTAGTCATAAAGAATGTCTTGACTCTGGAAGCCTGTCCTGCATGACCATGTAATCCAATTTGGTCCTGCAACTTGGTCATTGAAAAGTCCAGACAGGCTGACTTCATAGACATGTGTCTTGTGCAGCAGGGCCTGTGCTCGGAAGGGTCCCATATTTGGTTTAATGTTCTGCTGTCACAGTCTTGAAATTCTTAATTATTTTTTAATAATGGGCCTTGCATTTCATTTTTCACTGAGCCCTGTAAATTACATAACTTCTCAGGGTCCAGAAGTTGATAATTGATAACATTAAAATATATAGTAGAAGTATTTTGTCCCTTTCATATTTATCTAGATCCTCTATTGATTTATGAAACAGCTACCTACCTCTGTGGCGTGGAGGCATTTGGGTTTAATGGCCAGCACTAATGCTGATTAATTTCGGAGCGTGGGCAAGTTATTTACCTTTGCTAAATGGTTTCATCATTTGTCAAAATAGGGAGAGTAACACTGAAAGCTTATTATTTTGCCAGATGGCATGTGCTGAAGTGTTTTATGTGCAGTCTTAGATTTAATTCTCACACCAACCCTCTGAGATGCATACTATTATGATTCCCATTATACAGATGAGGAAACTGAGGTGAAGAGAGCCTCAGTCACACACCTAGCTAGTGGCCAAGCCAGGATTTGAACCCATAAAGTAGGACTCTGTCCAGATCCTGTATTCTTAACCACTTCGCCATACTTCTTCCAATGAGAATGCCCCCATTTCAGGAGAATAAGAAAGATATGGATCTGAAAATGTAGGCACATAGCAAATGGGAGCAATACCATTTACCAGGAGCTGCTGCTGCTGTTATTATAATCATTTTTCAACCTGTGAATTTAGCTTCTTTTATTTATCTTCCAGTTTTTCTACAAGGAACATGTATTGATTGCACAGTTCAAAAACAGAAAACTCCTATCATCCCAGCAGTAAAACCAGCTGTTTCATTTAACGTTTGTTTGCCAGTGCGTTTCTGCTGTCCTCTCCTCATTCCTCCCATCACACGAGTGGGACTCGCAGCAGGCACACTGGCAGCTGTAAGAAGTTTATTTTGTTCCAGAGACAGCAGCACAAAAAGAGTCCAATCTGTCTAGATGAAGAGGATAAGGCCATGTTTGAGTGTGTGCGAGCCAGCCCCAATCCTGCAGTCTTGCTCTAATAGCTGGCGCTCGGGTAACTTTGCCAACGATGAGATTGTTTCAAGCTCTCAATGTTTGCTCAGCAGAGGCATTTAATAAAATGCCTCTTAACCCATAAGCTCTGCTGTCTTTAATGTTCAGTGGGGCCTTGAGAGCTACTTGCTGAAGTTGAAACTATTTGTTTTCTGGTTATGTCATTTGTCATTTTGCTAGAGGGGTGTGTTAAACTCCTTTGACCTTCTTTCTGATGCTGGGAGAACAAATAAAAAATTGAATGCACCTTAGACAGGCTAGGGGAAACCCTGGGACTGGGGAGGGTGGAGAGTGGCAGATGAGGACTGACCTCAGGGTGGGAGTCAGCAGCTGAAAGCACAGCATCCAGGCCAGAGAAAGAGGTTGGTCCAGACAGGGAACCATCCTGGGCTTCTCAGCCCCAGCCCATGGGCAGGCCAGGTGAGGCCACTGGGCACACAGTCCAGGCGGTTGGCTGGAGGCCTGCTGTGCGCCAGCCAGGGGCCAGGCAACCAAGATAAAGACCCTAGAGCCTACTCTCAAGTGCTTCCCCTTGGCTGTTGGGGCTCAGGCTTACTTTAGGGAACCAGGCGTATGAATACCCCTTTCCGCCTGCCTTGGGGTAGGGTAACCAGCTGTGGCCACAGCTCCAAAGGACCAGGGAAAACTGAGAGTGAAAAGGAGTGGGGTGGTTGACTCTGCTGAGAGAGTGAAGGGGTCAGTTAGCAAGCCTCTTGCAGGAGGCCCCCCCCAAGAGGTAACAGTGATGCTTTGTGAAGTGCTTACTGCATGCCGGATACCATTCTGAGCCTTTACATTTTCAGTGAATCTCCACAACAGCAGTGAGGTGTAGTAGGTGCTGTCATTATCCCCATTGTGCAGATGTGGACACTGAGGCACAGAGGGGTGCAGTCATTCACTAAGGCTAGTGAGGAAGCTGGAACTGAGGCTCCAGTTGTCTGATTCTGCAGGCTGCATTCTAAGCTTGGCCTTCTGCAGCCTCCAGAAGGCAGGATGGTAAACAAGGCTTTGAGCAACAAATGGGCTTAAATCAGGCTTTGATCAAGAAAGTGGGCTTACATCAGCAAGAGGGAAGGAGATTTGCAGAAATCTCATTCCTTTTCTTCTTTTGGAATGCTATTATAGTTAAATGGGTTGAATATTTTTTAGTTGGATATAACCCATGGCTGAAAACAGAAGAACTTAAACCATCAGTTTTGAAAGTGAATTCCAGTTACATTCTGTTATGGATTAAATTGTGTCCTTGAAAAATGTGTGTCAACTAGGCTAGGCCATGATTCCCAGTATTGTGTGATTGTCCACCATTTTGTCATCTGATGTGATTTTCCTATGTGTTGTAAATCCTACCTCTATGATGT